CAGAGTCTAAATTTAATAAAGTATAGCGAATTTGGCTTGGCCGCGGGTTTAAAAAAAAAAAAAAAAAAAAAAAAAAATATTTATACTGTTTCTTCTTTTCTTTAAAATTTCTTTTTTATTCATTTTCCCTTATATAATTTCTATAAGAAAGATTTGACACAATTTGGATTTATAATCATGACTGTAGAGGTGATCTGCAGGTTTTAATTCTATTGAAAACTTTGAATTTTAATTCTATCTATTAAGGAAATAACATATTATCACTATAAATTACATATGGCTATTAATGGATGAGCTGGATTGAAAAGATTATACTTTATATATATTTTTTTACTTGTGATGGTTCAATAATTTAATAAATAAAACAATATCAGTCTAATTGCAGGTTTAAAAAAAAAAAATTATAAAATTATAATTATTATTTTATAAAAAATTTTTTTTAAAAAAATTTTTATAAAAATATAAAATAAAAAATATATGTAATATATTTTTTATACAAGATTAAAATATTCAAATAAATTATTTTATTTTTAATTTATAATTATATTATAAAAATAAAATAATAAACTTATTAGTTTAATCATAAAAAAATATATTCTATATAAAACCATATTAATTAAAACTTGCTTAGTTAAATTAAATTAATTTAATTTAAACAAATTAAAAATAAATATAACTTGGATTTAAATAAATTGATTTGAATCAAATTGAATACAGATTAAATTAAATCAAACTATATCAAATCCAATTTAAAAATTAAGTCAAATTGAATTTAATTAAATCTAATTTGATTTGATCTGTTGTGAATTAAACTTGCTATTTATTATTATAATTACATTCATTATATTCTTAAAATTTTAAATAATAATTAATTTTTATATTTTCGATTTCTATATTAGGATAGCACGAAGCGGAATTCTTTTCTTTATCGCTTGTCCTTATGCATTTTTGAACTGTATCTTTTTCTGATGTCTCTAGAAACTAATTGCGTCTTATACTCGGGATTTGTTTTCGGCAAATTACTTGAAATGATATTCAGTTAATTTTTTTTGAATATTAAGACCATTAACCATAGAATCGTTTCTCCCTCCGATAATAGTTTGGTCCGTGTCTCGTTCTTCGTCAGCACCGTCTTCAGACTCACGATCATATTTTTGCCTTATGGGCAAAAAATAAGTTATGTATTAAGTTTTATATACAATGAGGGTAAAATTGTCTTTCTATTCAGTAATAAACAGGTGTTAGAGTAAAACGCGGAAGATGCTTGATACCCGCCGTAGTTGGGTGAGTTTTTTACCTATTCCGGACTATCATATTACTTTAAGGCGGACCACAACGGACAAGCAGACCATAAAGTAGACATCAAGTAGATGCTTAATGCCAACCGTAGTTGTGTGAGTTTTTACCCATTCCGGACTACTGGAAGTCTTCCATACTGCTTTACAGCAGACCACAACGGACAAGCAGACCATAAAGTAAGTATCGAGCAGATTCTCGATATCACCGTAGTTGTGTGAGTTTTTACCCATTCCGGACTACTGGAAGTCTTCCATACGCCTTATAGCAGACAACAAAGTCGATATCAAGCAGATGCTCGATACCCACCATAGTTGTGAGTTTTTACCTATTCCGGACTATCATATTACTTTAAGGCGGACCATAACGGACAAGTAGACCATAAAGTAGACATCAAGTAGATGCTTAATGCCAACCGTAGTTGTGTGAGTTTTTACCCATTCCGGACTACTG